ATCAATTATTTGAGTTTGTTGTAAATTCCCTGTCTGTTGCAATGTGTGAACTGTTTATAGTTCACAAAGTAGATTTTTTTTTATTTTTTAAATTTTTTAAATGCTTATTTGTATTTGAGAGAGAGAGAGCACGAGCAGAGGAGGGGCAGAGAGAGGGAGACACAGAATCCGAAGGGCTCCAGGCTCTGAGCTGTCAGCACAGAGCCTGATGTGGGGCTTGAACTCACAAACCGTGAGATCATGACCTGAGCCGAGGTCAGACGCTTAACCGACTGAGCTACCCAGGCCCCCCTCACAAAGTAGATTTCTTAAAAAATCAAAAGAGCAAATACTTTTTGAACACCTTGCATACATAATTCATAGCAGATATATAACACACGAGGCCCATACACGGTGTGTGACATATACAAATCTATGGTAACAACTTCTATAACTATATAAACCAAAGTGGAGTCTCCTCACTCTGCCCCCAGGCTTACTCCCCACGCATGACGAGCATGCATTTTGGTGAAACTCTCTCAGGTCTTGTTTTTTCTAAGTAGAGCTAGATTTCTAATCCAGGGCAATGGGCTTCAAATGCTGTGTTCCTTCCATTAAATGAGATAATGTGTATAAAATACAACCGCATGCCTCGTGTGCAGTAAGCACTCAGTAAATAGTAGCTGCAGTTTCCAGCATTATTTCTATCTGTGCTGTTGAGCTGAGAGAATGAGTGGATCCATTCATGAATATTTGGCCCACAGTTTGTTCTTGGCACTGTGCTAGGAATGCACACGTGTGAGGGGCACCTGAGAAGCTCTGGAGAAGGTGTGATGGGTATAGAACGTTGTGTGGCTCTGTACCCACCGTGAAGGATCTGGAGCTCAGGCCATTGGACACGGCCTCTGTGGCTCCCAGGCCGTGTGAGGAGTGAGTCCCAGACAGAAAACGCAGCTCACCTCCCTGGGGACTGTGGTCTCCAAGTCGGGAGGCGGGGTTGGGGGGGAGGCATGCACGCTCTCCTGAGGCAGTTGCTTTAGTTTTCAAGTAATTTTGCTAGAAAGTTCTATGTGGTACCATAGGCCATACTTTCATTTGAAATTAATTTTGCCGGGGTAAAATCTAAGTTGAGCCTTCAGGCAGAGATGGCAGGCTCGACCTTTAATAAGTAAAAAGTGTTTCTCCACTAGTGAATTTTCAGGGGCTCTAGAAGCCAGCAAGGGCAATTCAGGCTGAAGTAGCTTCCTCCGAAGGGCGGTGGGGCTCATGGAAGGTTTTTTAACCAGGTCTTTCTGGACACAGAAACAAATTCTTATGTGTAAGGTTGTCTTTGTGACACCGAATCACGTGCAGTGCACCACGTGTGGAGCTTAATTGCATGAGTTGATTTTATAAAAATCATAAATGAGTGACTAAGTGATGGCAGGTCAGAGGCCGAGAGCACGTGGGGAGTGCTTCTCAGATTCCCAGAGGCCAGGGGCACCTGGGGGGCTCAGTCGGTTAGGCGTCAGACTCTCGGTTTGGCTCAGGTCATGATCTCTTGGTTTTGTGGGTTTGAGCCCCACATTGGGCTCTGTGCTGACAATGTGGAGCCTGCTTGGGGATTCTTTCTCTCTCTCTCTCTCTACTCCTCCCTTGCTCACACTGTCTCTGTCTCTCTCAAAAATAGATAAATAAAACTTTTAAAAAAGTATATAAAAAAAAGAATTCCAGAACCCTGAAGTCTCAAACAGGCTTCTCTCTGTTCCCGCCTGCATCAGGCACATGCTGGGGCTGCTGCGTTTCACCTCCTCCGGTCCTAGATGTCCTTCCCTGCCGTGCTCTCCTAGCAATGACACGAATGCTGTTTAAAATAAACTGGAATTTAGCATTTTTTATTTAGTAAGTCTGGCCTTCTTTTCCAGACTGTCCTGGATTCGCAGGGGGTTACGGCTTAACTTAGAGTGAAGATTTTCAAAGCAAAGAAATGTGGCTATACCGAGGAAAGGAAGCCCCTGGTCAGAGCACAGGCCCCTCTTGCATGAATAAAAGGATCTGGGTTATTTGTTGAAGTGTTCTGACTTGGTTTTCCACGTTTTGTTTGTAGTGTCCTTGAAAGGACTGTGTTTGGATCCTGGCTTTGTTTTGTAACCTCTGCTTTGTGGTGTTTGACTTTTATCAGTGTTTGTGCTTGGAGTGTGTTTATTTTGAGAGGACCCCATGGGACCTGGGGTATAGACTCGCAGTGTGTTCAGAGTTCATACCATAAGCATTGCCACATTGTCTATGCATATTGCATTCTTCAGCCTTTCCAGTCCAAAGGCCGAGCTGGTTGGACCTGGCTTGAACAAGCGTGTGTGTGTGTAAAATTTTAACATTCTTATTTAGTCAAGGAAGCAAGAGTTCCTAAATTTAATACCTACTGGTTATTCTGTACTGTTCTGTTGTGTTACATGATTGAAATATTTGTGTGTGGTGGGTCCAGAGATCTTTCGGGGTAGGTGTGGGTAGGTGCGATCTGTGTGTGTGACTATTTATCTCATGATCCTCGAGACTTATGGAGTATGTGAGGATTTCTGAGTTACCAGATGGTCTTGATTTCCAGGTAGCTGGCTGCTATTTAAAATTTGGCTTATGCTGCTCAGCAACAGGGCCCCTTCAACACTAACCCTAACCCTTACCCAACCCTAACATTAAACCTAAGTCTTACCACAACCCTACACCTAACCCTAACACTAAACCTCACCTCAACCCTAACACTAACCCTTACACAACCCTGACCCTTACCCCAAACTGACCCTGATTTAACCATGACCCTGACCCTAATCCTAACCCTAAACCCTAATCGTTATCCCAACCCTGACCCTGACCCCAACCCCAACCATAATCCTGGCCCTGACCCTTACCCCAACCCTGACCCCAACCCTAACCCTTACCCCAAACCTGACCCTGACGCTAACCCCAACCCTAATCCTAACCCTTACCCCGACCCTGACCCTAACCCTGATCCTGACCCTAACCACTAACCCTGACCCTAACCACTAACCCTGACCCTACCCTAACCACTAACCCCACAGGGGCCAGCATGCCTGTCTCCAGTGGGTCTGTTCTTAGGGCTCCTGCAGACCTTCCCCAAAGACAGATTCCGACCCTCTTTTCATTTAAAAGAATGCTGCGAATCACTTCTGAAAGAGCCAAAAGATGCCCTTGATTATATTATTATTTTTAGAGTAGTAAAGTTACAAAGCTTAAGATAGTGTTTATGGTTCTGGATTCCTTTTATGAAATATATTTGTAAATTATTCAAGTAATATATGAATGTATATTTAGTGTGAAAACACGCTGGGTAGGAGGGTATGCATATTAATATTTTATTTATTTATTTATTTATTTATTTATTTATTTATTTATTTATTTATTTATTTTTACTTAGGCTCCATACCCAGTGTGGAGCCCAACACAGTGCTTGAACTCATGACCTTGAGATCAAGACCTGAGCTGAGACCAAGAGGCAGTGCTTAACCAACTGAGCCACCTAGGTGCCCCATTAAACTTTTGATAGCTATTAGCAAATAGATCAAACTTGCCTTCTAGAATTTTGTACTGTCACTGCTGCCAGCAGCCCATGAGGGTTTCCCTACACTGTTCCCAACACTACATACGTCTTTATAAATGTTTGTTACACCCACTTTGATGGGTGGGTATCTCTTTAATTAAGTTTTTAATTTTAATTCCAGTATAATTAACATAGTGTTGTTAGTTTCAGGCATATAATATTGAAATTGAATAATTCTGTACATTACTCAGTGCTCATCACGACAGGTGCATGCTTCGTCCGCATCACCTGTCTCCCCATCCCCACCCACCTGCTCTCTGGTGACCTGCGGTGTGTTCTCTGGACTTAAGAGTCTGTTTCTTGGTTTGTCTCTTTTCTTTGTTTTGTTTCTTAAATTCCACATATGAGTGGGATCATAAGGTAACTGTCTTTCTCTGATGACTTATTTAGCATCATACTCTCTAGCTCGTTGACAGCTGGACATCTCCATTTGCACTTCTGTGATTGCAATGGAGTTGAGTATATTTTATTGTTTGACTCTTTCCAGAGACGGGAAATAAAAGTCATTTTGTACTCTGAGATGTGTGAAGTCTCTCCGATTTCTGACTTTATGGGAGGGGCAAGGACTCCTCAGCTTCAAATGGGTCCTCTGACTCTCCAGGTTGGGGTCCAGGCGGGGGGTTCTGTCACACTCCTTATGACTGTGACCGTGACCTACCTTAGCTTAGAAAAAGTGTTAACTTTTTAGACTGTCAAGATGCCTGTAAAAGTACCTTCAGGTGGTTGTCTGTAACCTGCACCCTGTCTGGCACATCCACACCTCTTGTTTGTCAATAGTCAGGAAACCCTGAAAATCATTTACACATTCTTTTGCCCCAGAACTGCAGCACTGACTAGTCAGGCTTCGTGAACGCGAGGGGCCAGTGTTGACGCAGGTCAGCTGAGGCCCAGAGCGCTGCTCCAAGGCCTGTGCGGGTTCCAAAGTGGCTAGGGGCTGTTTGACCAGGCTACTAGACGTCTAGCTGACTCTGCTGCCTTTTCCGGACCTCTCCCAGCACGGATCCCTCTAAAGCCGCCCCCTCCTGTATCCTCCGGCGCCTGCACACAGCGGTCCGCTTCAGTTGGCTCTCAGACCCGGCTAGCCTGGCCGCGCGCACCTGCGGCCGCGCGCACCTGCCGGAGCCAGAATGGGGTGGGTGCGGGGGCCGGCAGGTCACTTGAGCCGCCGGGTGGGCCTGCGCGCGTTTCGAATCCTGGGCGCGGCCGCGCCCCGGGGCACCTGTGACCCCGGGCTCCTAAGTCGACAGCAGTCGCCCCGGGGCCGAGTCCTCCCGCAGGGGGGGGGTCACTGCAGCGCGCGCGCCGCCTTTCCTTTTGGGGGCGGAAGCCCGGCGGGCAGAGGGCAGTGGGCATGCGCACTGCGCCCGCCCCGCGTCCGGCGGCCGTTGCCTTGGTGACCGCAGGCCGGCCGCCGGGGCCCCGCCCCCGCGCCGCCGCCCGGCGGACCTGGCCGCGCCCCACGGCCGGGGTGAGGGGTCTGACTGGGTTGGGGTTGCGGGGACTAGGGGGTGGGCTCGGGGTGAAGGGGAGGCCCGGAGTGGGGGGTCCTAGGGTAAGGGGGTCAACTCGGGGTGAGGGGTCGGCCCGGGGTGGGAGACGGGGTAGGGGTGAGGAGTGCGGGCTGTGAGGGGGGCCGAGATCAGGAGTGCGGGGAGGGGTGAGGAGGCCAGCCTGGGGTGGGGGACGGTCTGGCCAGGGGTGAGGGGGCCGAGGTGAAGGGGTCCCGGGTTGAGGGAGGACCCGGGTTGAGAAGGGACCGTGAGGGCTGGGGGTAGCCGGGATGAAACAGGGTGGTGAGGGGTCCCCGAAGTAAGAATGTCAACCCGGGGTGGGGGTGGGGGGTCGGACCAGGGTGGGAGTTAAGCGGGAGCGGTCCCAGATGAGTGGGGGCCAGGAGGAATGACCCCGGGATGAAGCTGGTCGTTTTGGGGGCGCCCGAGGTGAAGACCTCCGGGGGACGTAGGCTGCGAGGGGCGGGGTCTTGCGGAGGGGGCGGGGAGGGGGCGGGACCCTCGCTGGACTGAGGGGGAGCTAGGTCCTGGGGGTCTGAGCCCGGCCCCCGGGGGCGGGGCCCTCGGCCGGGGTGGGGGCGGTGGCCTCCGGGGGGGGGCTCTGGGGGCCGGGGGTGGGACGGGTCCCCGCGGGGTGGGCCGGGCCCCGCCGCCCGGCCCCGCCCTGCCCCACTCGCCGCGTCCCGGTCGTGCAGGAGCCGCAGCCCGAACGTCCGCGCGCTGCGGGCCGGCCGACGAGGGGCGCGCGTCGACGCACGCACCGCGGAGCCGCCTCGGAGCATGTGGAAGCTGAGCCGGAGCCGGGTGCTGCTGGACGAGCCCCCCGAAGACGAGGACGGCCTGCAAGGGGGGCCGCCGCCCGCCGCCGCCTCCGCGGCCTCCGCGCAGGTAGGGGAGGAGGCGGGGCGGGGGGGGGGGGGGCGGCGCGCGCGCGAGGCCGGAGCCGTGCGGAGGGAGAGGCGTGCGGCCCGTTCGGATCCGGGGCTCGTCCCGGGGCCCCGGTGCTGTGGTGCTCGCCGCCCGCCCACCCCCCACCCCAGGGCAACACCCGGGCGGGAGGGCGCGGGGCGCGCACGCCCCGGAGCACCCCGGTCCCGGCGCGCTGGCCTTCCTGCAGAGTGGAGGCTGCCGTCGCCGCGCTGGGCGGTGGGGGGCGGTGGGGGGCGGTGGGGGCCTGCCCCGGGGTCGCGGCGAAGTGGGTATTTCCTTCTCTTCAACCTTTGCCTGCCTGGAGGAAGAGGGCAGGTGTCCTTCATGCAGAAGATCGAAAGCCGCTGGCCTTACGAGTTCGGAGATATGCTTGGAATGTTTAGAATTTTTTAATTAAAAGGATCCCAGGTGGGGCCTGTGTGTGTGACACATGTGTTCCCCTCCCCCCCTTTCCAGTGCATAGTTCTCTTCCTTGTCTCATGAAATTTAGGTCAGAAATTCAGCTTTTTTTTTTTGTTTTAATGACGTAGTCCTAAAATTTCTTTCTTTTTTTTTTTTTTTTTTTTTGTTAAATGTTTGGAAACGCCTGCTGCTGTTAAAGCTGTTGTGGAAGTTCACGACGATCTGTATCTGTCTTCTGAGGACCTGGGAACGTTCTCGGGACTGTGTCTTCCTGGCCTGCGACCTGAAGGGGCTCGTGCCGGCGGCTGCTGGTGTCGGGTGCCCGCCCCCGCCCGCAGGACAGGGTCTCTTGCGGCACCTGGCTCGCTTCCTAGTTAGCTGCTCTCGCATCATTTACTTTCTGGTCATGGAGCGCCCGCGCTCCGTCTGACTTTTTTCATTTCAAACTTTTACGGTTGCTCTAAGCAGCAACCCTCCTGAACATAACGATGAGAATTTGCATGTTGCTTTAAGTGGCAGCAGAATTAGTTTATACTGGAAATAATTATTGCTGTATCGTTCTTTCTGGAGGAACTCAAAAACTTTAAGCTGACCTTGCTATGTTCTCTGCTCCCATTTCTCTTAATCGTAAAAGCCCTTTTCTTTCTCCTTGCAGAATTGTCACCTTAGCTAACAGTGTATTTTTTTTTTCTATTTTAGTAAACTTTATTCTTTAGGTACCCAGCAAAATTGAGTGGAAAAGACAGAGCTGGCATACACTCCCTGTCTCCACACACGCTCAGCCCTCCCCCACTCTCCGGTCCCTTTTGTTACAGTCAGTATCCAGCGCTGACGCCTGCGTGATCTGGTGATCTCGGAGTCCATGCTGTGCATTGGAGTTCACTCTGGCTGGGGTGCGTCCCATGGATTTTGACGAATGTAACATGAAATACATCCGCCATTAGAGTACCGTGCACACTACCCTGAAAACCTCCCTGGTCTACTTATTCATCCCTCCCTTACAACCGCTGATCTTTTCTGTTGTGTCCGTGGCTTTGTCTTTTCCAGAATGTCATACAGTTAGAATCCTCCAGGACGGAGCCTTTTCACACTGGCTTCTCTTATGTAGCCATATGTGTTCAAGGCTCCTCCGTGTCTCTTCGTGGCTTGGGAGCACATTTCTTTTTAGCCCTAGGTGATTTTCGTTGTGTGCTTGTATCGTTTGTCTCTACCTACTGAAGGGTGCGCTGGTCACTTCCAACTTTGGGCGGTTATGAATAAAAATGCTTTGCTATAAATACCTTGGTGCATGTTTTTGTGTGGACATAAAGTTTTACTTGGTTAAATACTGAAGAGTGGGATTGCTGTGTCGTAGGGTAAGACATTGTCCAGTTTTGTAAGAAACCACCAAACTGTCCTCCAGAGTGGCTGTGACACCCTGCGTCACCTACAGCGGGAGAGGGACAGCTTCCGTCGCTCGGCGTCCTCGTTCGCCAGCCCTTGGCGTGCTCAGTGCTCTGGGTTTGGGCTGTCCTCACAGGTGTGGGTGGCGTCTCCTTGTCTGAATCTGCGTTTCCCTGATGACACAGGGTGTGGTGCGTCTTGTCACGTGCCTTTGTCTGCCGTACATCTTTGGTGAGGTGTCCGGTCTTCTGCCTCATTTTTTCACTGGGTTACTTGTTTCTTACTGTCGGTGTTGAAGAGTTCTTTGTGTATTTTGGATAATGGTCCTTTATCAGAGATGTCTTTCTCCAATATTTTCTCCTAGTCTGTGGTTTGTCGTCCTCTCTGGCCAATGTCTTTCACAGAGCAGAAAGTTTTTATTTTATTTCATTGTGTTTAGAAGTTTTTGGTTTTAATGTAGTCCAGGTTGTCAGTTATTTTTTTCATGGATTGTGTCTTTCATGTAGCATCTCAGAAGTCACGGCCACACCCGGAGTCACCTGGGTTTTGTCCCGTGTCCTCTTCTAGGGGGTGAGAGGTGACTGGGCTGTTGTGTTACTTTATCAAGTGTATGTGTGGTTTGATGCGTGGAAACTCTTTGCTCTAGAAGACAGAGCCGTGTTTACTCGTGATGGGTTAGTCCCGCTCCACAGTTAGTTCCTGCAGGAAGGTTTGTCCCAAAGCCAGCTCTTCTTAGAATGAAATGTGAAAATTGAAGGCCAGTCTACTGTAGAACTTCTGCCTCCAAACATGGGAATTCCCAGGCAGGAGGGACTGGGGGATCGTGGCGGGGGGGGGGGGGGGGGGGGGACAGAGGGCCCGTTGGTGGCCTGGGGTCGGTGGCGCGGGCCGGGGATTGTGGACGGGGCTTCTCCGAGCAGGAAGCTGGTGCAAGCTCTTCCCGGCTGCTGGGTGGCAGAGTGCGGGCTAGGAGTGCTGGCCTCACTCTAGAAGTCTAGAAGGTGTTAGCATTCCTCTCTGGAAAATCAGGTCATGCGGCTATAATCCGCGTTTTGTGTAAAAAGAAAACAATAGCTTAATGTTAAGTTTTAATAAGTTTGAGATTTGAGGCCTTCAAAATCAGTACTTGGAGTCGAGTAAAGCCTGTTAGTTTTTACACCGTAGAAAAAAACTTTGAGCAGCTCTTTGCGCCTTGGCCTTTATTGTCCTGAACACAGGCTGTTTTGCATTAGAATACAGTTAAGGTTTATAAAGCGAGTTCTTCAGTGCAGTCATTTAATAAGGAGAGACGAGTTTCTTTATTTAATAATGTATTTTTTTTAACTTACATCCAAGTTAGTTAGCATATAGTGCAATAATGATTTCAGGAGTAGAATCCAGTGAGTCTCCCCTGCATATAACACCCAGTGCTCATCCCAGCAAGAAGGAGAGACAAGCTTTGATGAGTCTAATGTTTATTTTTAAAAGCCTGCTATGCATATAGGGAGAGATTTCTGCATATTCCATGTTAGCTCTTCTTCCCACCTTCCCATAGGAAGTATCGTCACTTTTTTTTTGTATAGCTATCCATGAGAAATATTTATGCACACACACAAACACATTTCCTACTGTAAACATCTTTCTGCATCTTGAATTGTTCCCTCAGTAATGTGTGTCTCATGGAGCACTTCCTGTTTAGGTGCAGTGGCTGAAAACAATCTCATTTTTAAGGCTGCATTTTTTTCTTAGAGAGTGCATCAGCGGGGCAGAGGGGGGGAGAGAGAAAGAGGGAGGGAGGGAGGGAGGGAGGGAGAGTCAATCCTAAGCAGGCTCCATGCCCAGAATCGGGGCTTGACCTGGGGCTCGATCTCAGGACCCTGGGATCATGACCTGAGCTGAAATCGAGAGTTGGACGCTTGACCGACCAAGCCACCCAGGCGCTCCTTATTGGACCTCTCCTGATGGACATGGAGGCTGAGCCTTTTCTGAAATCCCTGCCTGTCAGTTTTATGCAGTAGCAGAGAGCGGGGCTCGGAGCGATACTACACTGTGGGAGTTTAGACCATTCTTGGGTTGCTTTGAGCTGGGCTGCAAAGCGATTTAGCTAGCTTTAAGTTAATGCCTTTATTTTATTTTAAAGGTTTTACTTTTAAAAAGTGTTTATTTTGGAGAGCAAGAGAGCAAGCGACCAAGCAGGGGAGGGGCAGAGAGGGGGACAGAGGATCTGAAGCAGGCTCCAGGCTCTGTGCTGACAGCAGAGATCCCAGTGTAGGACTCCAACTCACGAACTGTGAGATCATGACCTGAGCCGAAGTCAGATGCTTAACCACCTAAACCACCCAGTCGCCCCTGGCTATGTTGACTTTTAGGAAAGCAGTCCTCTGTAGATGACCTTTAGGAGGTTATTTCTAGTCCCTTTCTGTTAGAACACGCAGCATGAGTCATTTCACGTGTCTGAGGTTACATTTCTAAAAGTGGAGCTACTGAGTCCGGGGGCATATACTTCTGTGATTTGATGGCTGTCTCTAAATTGCTCTCCCAAAGAGGCCGCATGGATGCATGTCGGCCGTGCGTGACCCAACCTGTCACGAGAGGCGTGTCAGTACGGTATAGTGCAGTGTTTGCAAAGTTTTAGACCTGATGGGTGAAAAGTGGTATCTTTTTTTTTAAGTTTATTTATTTATTTTGCAAGAGAGAAAGCGAGAGAGTGAGAGCGTGAGCAGGGGAGGAACAGAGAGTGGGGGAGGAAGAGAGAATCCCAAGCAGGCTGTGCACTTTCAGCATGGACTCATGAACTGTGAGGTCATGACGGGAACCGAAACCGAGGATCCGACACTTAACTGACTGAGCCACCCGGGAGCCTAGAAAAGTGGTATCTTAATTGGGTTTTAATATTTTTCTCATGGATAATATTAAAAAGCTTTTCATATGTTTACAAGCCTAAATAAGAGAGAACTTATTTAGCTTGTGAGAACTTCCTCACCAGTCCTGCCACCACATCATCAGATACGTTAAGCTGTAGTCAGAGTAATGGCATTTCCATGAACATGTAGCCTGTTATTTCAGATTTGGACCCTGGTTTCTGACGTACTTTGCTTGAGTCTTCCTCTGCCGTTTGTTCGCCAGGTGACCTTGTACAAGCTACTTGACCTAGCCAAGCTCCAGTTTTGTTTTTGAACTGAAAAACTGGGACA